ATAAAGTATCAGAGAAATAATTTTGAAAAAATAGATTTCTGCTCTCACACAAATATTTGGGGAGATTGGCAATGAATAAATAATTTCAGTCAGGAACAAATACTCTCCAAGCTGCTGTGAACAGCAGCTGAGGTTGGGGGGTGGGTGGAGTCTGTCACCAGAGGAGCATCTTTTTCTAATCAGTGCAAAGGCATTACACACTCTGGCAGTGATCCTGAACCTTATAAGCAACACGAAACTGAGTGATGCAGAGACTATTTCAGATAGGCGGTCTGGGTTCAGGTCAGAAGACACTCAAAGGCACAGCTATGAGCCAAGAATACAGGAGAGAAAGGGCTGATGTGGGAGGGGCTTGTGAACAAAGGGTAAGGGAGGCAAGGGACCCCTGAAAGGGAGGAAGGTAAACCCCAGGAAAATGGAAATGCCAGGCTTTTGGAATGATACATAGGAATGCTCACAAACACAGCTTGTGAGACCTTAACATGGCAGATTAGAGAGAGCCAGCACTTTCTTGTACCACCACGAACTTGAAACAAAATCCTCAATTTTGTGACTCAAAAGAGAGGATGGTAGCCAGGAAAAGCAAGGGAAAGCAACAGTAAACAGTAGCTGGAATTCAGATGAAACCCAGAAATACTGAACTTTGGACTTATGAAGGAAACAAAGAAGTCTAACATAGAGCACTGGGGAGAATCCCCACCAGTGAGAGTATAAGCAAACGACTGGCACCAAAGGCAAGCTGCTGGAAGATCCACAGGGGTGCACCAGCAGGCACTCTACAAAAATTAAATCCAAGATGAAGATGTACTAACATGGCTGCAAGGAAAGGAGTCCAGCCTCTCTTTTAAAATACATATATCTAAATCCCAAAGACCTGCCCCTTCCTCAGTGAATGACTTGGCTTCAGATTCATCAACAGAATCTACAGTGGGGCGGTGTGGGTTGTGGGGGGTAGTGCTAATGGGAGCTCAACTGCAAAGCCAAAGGCAAAACTCATCAAAACAACAGACACGGAGATGCCAGTGAGGACTCCTGCAGTAGCAGAAGAGCTTGAAGTGTAAAACTGACCCCTGGTAAGAGGAAAAACTTAAGTGCTCCATGCTAAGATAGAGAACAAAAAATGCTGCCCTCCAACAGAGGAAAGTAAACAGACAAACCAGGGGATAGAAGTTCACCCTCCTTCCCTCAGCAAAGAAGAAATATTGACTAGTGTATATTTTATTTTATTTATTATAGTGGCAGTTGTTTTGTTCTCATCTGCTTTTTTTTCTTTTATCTCTTTTTGTCTTTTGCTAGTCTAGTTTTACCCTGTTCTCTCTCACCATCATTCTAGTTTTTCCTTTACCTCCAACCCATGTTCTTTTCCTCTCTTTTCTATTTTGCTTCCTTTCTCCCTCCCTGAAAAACATGGAATGACATATTTCAAGCCCAGAGAGTAAATAACTGCTAACCAAGCATACTATGGCCTTTAAAATGGAAAGAGAACTAAAGATAATCACAAACTAAAGCAATTCATGACCATTAAGCCAACACTGCAGAAGATACTTAAATGAATCCTTCACACAAGGAGGAAGAGAGACAATGATAAACATGACAGCTCAAAAAAACAGATGAACACATGAGAATTAGGAAAGAATCAATCACGTCCAACTCAATAAACCAGCAAGTTCCAAAGATGGCTGAGAGCAAAGGAAATGAACAAATAATAATAGAATTGGCCAAGAAAAAAAACACCAACAAAATTATAGGAATCAAAACTAGCAGGGACTCTAACCTCACACTCATCAATAGATAGATCATCTAGACAAAAAAATAAAATCAACATAAACACTTTAGAGTTAATATTACCCTCAACCAAATGGACTTAGCAGATATCTATAGATTATTCCATCCAACTGCTGGGGAATCACATTCTTCTCAGCAGGCCATGTAATTTTCCCCCAAATGTATCATACTTTAGGCCATAATGCAAGTCTGAACAAACAGAAGAAAACTGAAATAATTTCTTAAATCCTATTAGATCATATGGACTAAAATGAGACATCAGTAGCAAGAGAAACTATACAAATACATGGAGAAAATAGATAAGATGAATGTCATCAAAACTTAAAACTTTTGCTAGGCATGATGACACACTTATAATTCCAGCACTGCTAAAGCAGGAGAATGGTGAGTTTGAGGCCAGCCTGGGCTACATAGTAAGACTGTCTCACAAATAAGCAGAAAATTTTTGTATATAAAAAAATAGTATCATGAACTTGAAAAGAGACCATGGAATGAGAGAAAATGTTTGTAAACCATACCTGATAAGGGACTTATACCCAGAATAAATAGAAAACTTCTGAAACTAAGTAACCAAAAAACCAACCCAATTTGAAAATAGACAAAGTATATGAATAGAAATTTCTCCAAAGAAAATACAGAAATGGTTAAAAGATGCTCAAAACCACTAATCATTAGGGAAATTAGTTTTGATTAACTATAATGACATACCACTTTAGACAATAGGATGGCTACTATTTTTTTAAAAACCCAGAAAATATCAAGTGCTGGTGAGGATGTGGAGAAACTAGAGTGCTTGGGCAGTGTAGGTAGGAATATAAAATGATACAGTCTTTATGGAAACAGTATGGGGCAGGTCCTTAAAAAATTAAAAATAGAATTAGCAATATGATCCAGCTATTCCACTTCTGGGTATACACCAAAGACTAAAAGCAGGAACTCAAAAAGATACTACTACACCAACAGTCATGGCAGCATCATTCACAATAGCTAAAATGTGAACACAATCCAAGTGACTGCCAATGGATGAATGAATAAGCAAAATGTGATTTGTACATGCAACGGAACATTATTCAGCCTTCAAAACGAAGGAATCTGACACATGCTACAACACGGGTGAACCATGAGAATGTTGTGCTAGGTGACACATCCAGTCACAAAAAAACAAATACTGTATGATTCCCCTTATCTGAGGTACTTAGATTAGTCAAAATCATAAAGTAGCCTGACAATTGCCAGGCACTGGGAGAAAGAAGGAATGGGAGTTATTGTTTAATGGGTACAGAGTTTCAGTTTTACAAAATGGAAGAGTTCTCGATATGGATGGTGATGATGGTTGTAAAATATGAGTGTATTTAATATCACTGAGCTGTACACTTAAAATGGTTATGATGATAAATTTTATGTTGTGAGTATTTTACTACAATAAAGAAGGGAAAGTGAGTAAATAAATGTCTCATGGCATTCCTCCAAAGTGATAGCCTGGGTCTGGGAAAGAGTAACTAAACATTTCTTCTATCCAAAATGCGTTTCTGGGAGGAAGAAGGCAGTAAGTCAACTTCTGCTAACTTGGGTCTTGCAGCCCAGAGCTGAGCAGGCCTCTGAGAAGCTGCTAAATAAGTGTTCCTAATACTTACTTCTAGGTAGAAAATGGGGGGGGCGGGGAGGGCTAGTATAAAAAAGCAGTTTGCTTTGCTACACCAAGTGTGACTTGTGATAACCAGGGCTGGCAAGATTAGAATCACCTGGAGGCTGGTTAGACCTGCTGCATCTCCAATCTCACTCTGTTCCTGCTGAATCTGAACCTTCATTTTAGTAAAGTCTCCGTGATGTGTGTGCACTTTGAACTTTGAGAGGCACTACCCACATGAACTGACAAATTGTAGATTAGTCTCCATTCAAACATATCTCCGCATTACTACAAAATTCCTATGGCAATCAGTCTTTCCTTTCAGCATCAAATATAACAATGCAATGTGAATTTGCCACCTTCAAAGGATACAGGATTTCACAAAATTGATGGACATGGTATCAGGATACTATTCAATCACTCACACTGCATCTGTAAGCAAGGAACTGGAAAACCCAGAATCCAGTAAAGGGAGCTAATCTAGAGGCCAGACGACATCCCTTCAAAAGAAAACGATTTGAATATCAAAGAATTAAGACAGGCCCTCAGGACAAAAATGATGAGGCTCATGAATAGCTTTACAAAAATGACCCACTGTATGATTGTACTGTGAATTTCATCAAAAAAACTATGCCAAAAAATTTAATACTCCTATCTTTAATCATTCTGAGAAGAAGCATAAATGTGTAGTTATTTTCAAGTTTAAATTCCTCTATTTATTTATTTATTTTTGATGGAGCTAGGGTTTGAACTCAAGATTTCACACTTACAGTGCTCTACTGCTTGAGCCACACCTCCAGCCCATTTTGCTCTAGTTACTTTGGAGATGGGGTCTCGAAAACTATTCACCCCAACTGGCCTCAAACAACAATCCTCCCAATCTTAGCCTCCAAAGTAGACAGGATTGCTGGTGTTAGTCACCAGCACCTGGCTTTAATTTCATTTTTTAAAGATGAAGTCAAATCAAATTTTTTGTAGAGTATATAATGATGTTTGGCTCTTGTTCTAGGAGCTTTTGTGCTAAGGTCTGGGGTGTACCTCAGTGGTAGAGTATTTGCCTAGCATGCCCAACACCCTGGCATCAGTCTCCCAGCACTGGGAAAAGAAAGAGGGAGAGAGAGAGAGAGAGAGAGAGAAACTGCTAAGTGGACCTTTCCCTGTGCCAGGTTTCTTCCAATAATACCTGCTGAAGAGAATTCTTACTATAATGTATTCTTTTTTCATTTTCCCTTATGGCACTTGTTTTACTATTATTATTACATAGTATAGCTGTATGTATTTATGGGCCACAGAGTGATGTTCTGACTTTTTAACAAAATATGGAATGACCAAATCAAGCGAACGAACCAAGCTGTCCATTATCTCAGACTTTTGGCTCTCCTGAGAAGAGAACATCCTTGTAAATTCTTTTTGGAGCCTATGACCAGTGTGGGATGATTGATACCAACTAACTGCACAACTCAGTGAAGAACTCTTTCTAATGTCCCACTTCCTGGTGAGATGTTTCAGTCCACTGTTCTGACACAGAAGGGGTTTATCTGTGAGGTGACAACCATAGTGGCAGATATCTCTTCAGTGAGTTAATTACCTTGTCAACCATGAGGAAGTTCTCCAGCGTCTCTCCACTTTCACAGGTGACATCACCAACCTCTCTTACAGCTCTGGGTAGGATCTCTCGTACTTCCTGGGCAATCATTCCTACATACAAAACATACTAACAGGTTTAATCATGGAAAGACCTTCTGGAAGAAAATGCTTCCTACAGCAGAATGGAACATTGACAGCCACAGGACATCTTTGGAAATAGATGTTCATCCCCTCTAAGCTCTTGCTTTGATCTACAATGCATTTGAAGCAACAAAAGAGCTTTGAGCCAAGAACCACTATAGGATTAAAAGCAGGAGTGTTGTTTTCTCTGCTTTGTTTTTTAAAGACTTGTTGCCAAATGTTGGAAAGGATGAGTAAATACTTTTAAAGCTATGTACATAGAAGGAAGGAAAGGAGGAGAATTAACTTGATTTTATTTCTTTTCCGATATAGGAAGTCTTTCCCCCTAAATGTTCCTTCTTTCTTTAGGATTCCTGGGTTAGAAATAAGCCTCACTTTGCTGACTCTTTCTCTTACCTAGCCCCACCTGCCCTTCCACCCTCTCTCTCCCATCTGGAGATTGCCCAGTGCTGCACCTCACACAGATGAGCTGCCATCTACCCTTGAACCCTCATCTCATGAGCAAGAGGATTCAAACAGGAAACATTCAAAATACTTTGCCAGGACTTAGGGTGCAGAAATGGGGATACTGAGTAAAGAGGAAACAGAAATTCTTTAACCTTTCCTGTTCTAGCGACTATGGGCTCTGCAGAGGATGAGTTAGATCAACAGGATGTTGTCAAATGTCATACCACACAACCTCAAAACAAAGGAGGAAGTAAGATTTTGGTAGCTGACGGTAGAAAATTAGAAAGGGAATGTGTGTACCTGTTTGGTGGGCAGTGTTTATTCCCATTGCAGATGCAAATTCAGGTTTGTAGTTGTATTCAACGATCCTCATTTGGGCTATTCTCCTCAGCTGTTCATTTGTGTCAACCTAATTTAATTAAAGAAGAGCAGGTTTCACCTGTTTAGGTATTTGCTATTCAAATCAGTGCCCAGAGTGACCCAGACAGACTAGGAATAAAGACAATGAGACTGTTCTTTTCTTTTGTCCAAACTAGTTAAAGAGATATTTCTCTTGTTCTCCTCAGAAGAGTGAAGTATTAAGGTTCACATTGGTGACTTCTAGCCACTGACTAATAAACTGACTCAGGGTTTCTAAGTTACATGGCAAGAACTCCATCATCTATTACTCTTACCTCATTCTCTCCTCTGAAAAGTAGATACCCTTTCTGAGAAACGAAGTTCCTTGCTTCACAGAGAAGCAAAGCTTCCATTTACAATTAAAAATGCAAGGTTTAATTCAAGTACCAACCTTTAAGTGTGGACGGATCCTATATTATTGAAATGCTTTTGGACATTTTGCTGGAGAAAAATTTTTGAAGTGGATTATCCAACCAACTGTTGATCTTTCAGGACCCGGATGCCTGTCTTCACAAGGAAGCCCTCTCTCCATCCCTTTGGTCAGCAAAGGCATCTTTCTCTGAGACCCCTGTTCTTGTGTCTAATGGTGTTCCCAACTGTCACTGTGAAGTTCTCAAAAAAAAAGAATTTTTTTCCCCTACTGGTTTCCAGAGAAATGTTAACAACCAAGACAATAGAATGAGTTTTCCCTAAAGCTAAACATATTTTATCCAAAGGATCCCCTTTGAGTTTTTTTATGATTGATGAAAATAGCAGGATCAAATTTTAATGACAAAAAACACAAAATGGGCAGCTGTCTGTATGTTCCCCAAATTTTTTTCAGAATATTACTTGATTATAAACCAGTGGTATCTTGGCAATTTAAGATATACTGCAATAAAAATAGAAAATACATTGTATTCATCCATGTGATAGAGGAATTAAACATGCTTTGTGGTGGTGTTGTTTTAGGAAAACCTCTGCCATTGTCATCACCTCCTCCCTTTACCCACTCCATGAAGTGGCAGGAAAACTTCTCTATCATCACTTGGGGTTCTTAGTCCTTCAAAAGTTTGGCTGTCTGCAAAGATGGTGGCTGGCACTTAATTGGTTTAGTGGTCTAGCTTTACTTTAGAAACTTATTTGGGAGTATAATTTTGACTTTACTGCTGTTCTGATAACCACTATTATCAAAAGCTAAATTCTTTCAGGCATGGAAGTGCACACCTGCAATTCCAGCACTCAGGAGGCTGAGACAGGAGGACTGGATGTTGGCGGCCAGTCTGGGCTACATAGTGAGACCTGTCTCAAAACAAACACACGAAAAAGCTAAGTTCATTTCATTCATTATTTGTCTTATTTGACTAATATTGGCTACCACCTATAATATATCCACTACTAAGTATTGAAACTTAAGAAAAATTGTTGACATTTAAAAGTTTGTGGTCTTGACCAAAAGAAACACATCACAAATGACTGACTACATTACAATGAGACAGCTGCAGAGCAATGGTGGAATTATGAACAAAGAATCATGGCAGCTACAAGGAAGGACCTAAAATATTCTTAGGAGGACAAAAAGAAAGGCTTCCTACAGATGTTTAAGACCAACCAAGATCATGGCCTATTTCAGTTCCTCAAATATGTTCTGTTTCTTTCTCTTTGGGGACCGATACTCATGCCACTTTCACTCTCTCACAGTTTAAACATCCCTTCCTCAGAGAAGGATTTCTTGACCCTCAGGACTGAGAAGGGTCCCTCTGCTTTTTATGCTCATTGCACCTTTTCTGCTTCATAGCACCAATCACAATTAGCACCAGACAACTAATCATGTCAACTTCAGCCTCCATCTTCCCCTAGGTTTCACTCATACCCATGAAGATGATGGCATATTTGAGACCTTGGTTTTCTGTTCATCACCATAGTACCAGTTTCCAGGACATGTGGTAATTTTGCATGTGGTAGATGCTCAACCACTAGTTGTTAACTGAATCAATAATTTTAAATTAGGAGTGAGGGAAAGATGTAGAGGAGAGTATGGGGTGGAAAGAATGAGATTAACATAGAATGCTAGGCAAAGAGAACACTATGAACCAAGCCTAAGGCAGCAAATCCCCTGAATGATGTCAGTATGGCCAAGGCAAAGCTTGCTTGGCATTACAAGACTGCAAAGGTTAAGGCTAGAGGAGGAGGAGGCTTCCAGGCCATGTGAAGAAGGAACAGTCACAGTCTCACATTGTTCTGTGCACATTTCTCTTATCACAAGCTCCTTTACTCGGTCAATAAATATTTTCAGAGTAGCTACTATATTCCCTATACCATAAGATCTGGAGATTCAATGACTATTTCTTATTTGGAGTTTAGATTTCAATAAAAGTTCCATTCCTGCCAGGCACGGTGGTGAACACCTGTAACCCCAGCACTAAAGTGTTGGAGACAGGAAGAGCTCCAGTCTAAGGCCAGCCTGAGCTATGAAATCCTATCGTAAAAATTAAAAAAAAAAAGGCTACATTTCTGAGGGGAAGGTCTATGTCCTATTCATCTCAGATCCTGCAGTGCCTAACAGAGTCTAACAACACTTTCAATGGAGAGAAAAAAAATGAATAAAAAGTGAAGGTGTAATGGCAAGACAATTCCTGACAGAACTAAAGAAAGGGGATCAATCAGGAGCCAGGAATGGCCTGAATCTACAAAGGCCCACTCCAATTCTTCACCCCCAGGCCCTTGACAGGCCTGTGCTCATTTCTTATTATCCTGCTGGTTTACACAGCCTGTGTGAACCCCACCAGTGGATGAATTGAAGGCAGGGTTGGGTCCTGTCCTCAACTGGAAAGCAGAGAGTTGTACCCTCATGTAAGATCTCAGAGAGGGAAAATGATCCCTGGATTTAAGTTGAATCATTGGCTGAATTTTCCCTGAAGACATTATTAGACACAGCAATTAGATTCTCTAGTTCTATTACCATGGTACTGGTTATGGTTTGAACATAAAGTGTCCCCCAAAAGGCTCATATGTTGAAGGCTTGGTTCCCAGCTGGTGGATCATGAGGGCTCTGACCTAATCACCTCATTTATACATTAATTGAGTCACAATTTGATGCCATGATTGAGAAGCGGTGGGAGGTGGGCCTGGTTGGAGGATGCAGGTCACTGGGGTGTGCCTTTGAGGTGCATCTTTCCCCTTTCTGCTTCGAGGGTGCCTTGAGGTAAGCAGCTCTGTATCACCATGCCCTGTCCACCATGATGTTCTGCCTTGCCTCAGGCCTAAAAGTAGTGGAACCAACCATCACAATTTGGCTCTGAAATTGTGAGCCAAAATAAATCTTTCCTCTTTTTAAGTTATTTCTCTCAGGTATTTTATCACAACAACAAAAAGTGATTAACACAGTATTTTAGATAGATTTTGGGCCAAAGATAATACTGAGAGTTAACTTAGAGACCTAAACACCTTACATAACAATGTTCTTCAAAGACAATGATCTGATTTCTAATGCTGGCTTATAGTCTTCCCCAAGCCAAAAAGAAATGGCTGATATTATACATTCCCTATGTGTACAGTTGGCCTAAGAAAAACATTGAGGCAAGGGTTGTAACTTCTCTAAACCCCAGGAGTCTACACAGTCCAGCACTGAAGGTACCAGAGTATTTTCTAGCTTACTAGAAACAAGAACCTGATTGGGTATCTGATTTGATCTTGCCCACAGCAATTTTGGAAAGTTCTGACCATGAAGATGGTTTCATCATCACACTGCCTCGTACTCAAGGTTGCTATATCATTCATTTGACCATTACATTGAGGAGAACATCTTCCAATTTATGGGTCTCTAGTCGGTCCTCTGGTTCTGGTGCAAGACCCGGCCTCAGCCTAGCATCAGGAGCAGCCTGAATGAGTGATGCCTGCTCACCCTGAGTTAAGGAATCTCTGCACGTGGCTCATGGCCTGAGGGAGACTTTGCATGCTTGACTTTCTTAAGCTTTTCATGTGTTCACTTTTGTCTCAACTAGCACACTGACTGGAGTGGTTAGGAGACAATCAAAACAATCTCTGAGCTTTTCATCTTAACTGATTTTTTTTCACTGGATTTTATTTTTAAATCTCTTGCTGCCTTTTTTCAGCCTTCACCAAAGAATTTGACTGAGGCATTCAGCTCTCAACTTCCTCATTTTTTCTGCATTGACATCACTGTTCCTCATGTCCCTTGAGTTTTCAGCATGTCCTTTCCTCCTAATTCTGCTTAGTTCTCACTATCAGAGCTGCATTTCCTACTGCAGTGTGCAGTCCAGTCACATCAGTGACTGGGCCCCTTGCTCTGGCGGATCTCATCTTCCCAGCACTTCAGCTGCACAGGTCTCAATTGTACCTGCATCATCTTCTCTGTCTTGGATGCATGCTTGGTAAACACCAGAGAGTCCCTCCTCCAGGACTCTCTGCAGACACTTCTGTGATTAATCTCCACAAAACAGCTTTGTGGACTTGAGTGAGAAGACACACAGTCCGGCAGGGCAGCAAGCTATAGCCATTCCCCCAATGGCAGTATTGAGCAACATGCTTGGCTACTGCACTTGGCAGCAGCTCATTCAGAAGCCAGCTCTGGCTGGCATGAGAAATTGCCTCTAGTCCCAAACATGCAGTCAAATCAACCAACAGTCACTGCTATAGTTTGAATGATGGTTTGCATTTCCCCCTCTAAAATTCACATTGAAATTTCATCCCCATTGTGGTGATATTATGAGATGAGGCCTTTTGGAGAAGTGATTAATTCATGAGGTCACTGCCTCATGAATGGATTAATTTATAAAAGAGCTTAGGGAACTAGCTTAGACCTTTTTGTGCTTTTCCATCTTTTCCACCATGTGACCACATGGTGTTCAAAGGTGCTTCCTTGGCAGTAGAATCTGAGGCCCTCACCAGATACCAAACCTGCCAGCACCTTGATCTTGGATTTCCTAGTCTCTAGAATTGTAAGAAATAAATTTCTATTATTTATAAATTACCCAGCCTGTGGTATTTTGTTACAGCAGCACAAATGGTCTAAGACAGTTATCCTCCTAAAGAATTTGGAAGAATAGTTCTCTTATTAAAAACTGGCAAAACTGAGTCAGGGAAAAATGGAGATGAAATTCACACATCTGTTAGCACTCTCATCAACATTACCAATCATCTCTCTTATCCCTAATAAATGGTGGCTAGGAAAGACAAGAGTTCTAGGAATATATATTCCATAAATGTTGCAGAGAACAAATGTATTAATATGAAATGATTTAGTAAATTAATTACATATAATATGTGTTTTGTGCACATAAAATACACTTAACCTTGTACAGGTAAAAAATTGTTCTGCATTGATGATCTTAGAAAAATCTCTTGACCTGGGTGAAATGAATATGAACTCTCCCTATTCACAGACTACAAAACAGAGGCATAGAACATCCTGGGATAGAATATTAGGCTGCTGGAGTCGGGACAAACCTCTAGCCTTCTAACCATAGACAGTTATTGTCTTATTCCATCAAACTGCTGCAAATGGAAAGGGGACAAAAGAATTTCACATTTAGAGCCTGGATTGGGGTGACATTTTATTTTTATGGAGAAGGCTTTCTATAAGGAATTTGAGAAGTCCAGGGAAGAGTATATTTTCTTCAAAGCAAGGAGCAGAATTTGAAAACTTTGAGCAGATGAAGTTCCCTGTAAGTCTGGTGGTTGCAGGAGGGGCTGTGGAGAACAAACCCTGCTTGTTCTATACCACTTACATTTTAGTGAGACTTGGCAGGGTCTGGTGTAGCCAACTGCAAGGCTATCTTTGAACTGGTATGATCTGAAAAAGCAGACTGTTTATCTCTCTAAAATTCAAAGGCTCCATATCTAGGACTAATATTTGGAAATGTATGTGGAAACTTTTTAGTCCCAGTAGGTCACAGCTCCTCTAGCATGAGCTGCAAGCAGTATAAAAGCCTTTGGAATCCTCTCAGCAGAGAGGGACATTCCTCGCTGGGTTTAGAAAACCCAGTGCAGATTTGCACTGGAAAGGAATGCAGACTGGATGAAGGGCCAAAGATTAACAGATTAAGTCACCTATTAGCTAAAAAAGGAATAAGGAAAGGAGGGGCATTAAACACAATTCTGCCATGACCTCAACATGCTTTCTGGAGGTAAAGGAGTAAAGGTGGGAGGAGGGAGAGTGGTAGAAGCAGTGAGCCGGAAACAGAATTGACTGGAGGAAGAGCGGGAACCAGGAGTGGCCTGGCTAAGGGATAAGAATCTTCATCCTATTGCGTTTGGTCCACATAGCAGCTGTAACTTTCCAGGATGTTTCTGTACTATTACTTTAACTAGTTAAAAAATAAAACTGACTTAGGAGAGTCAGGCAGGAAGGCACATTTCCATCTTATAGATAAAGATCCTGTGTTCAGGAAAGTTCAGCATGTTATCCAGGGTCATTTTGCTGGGGAGAACCCCAAAAGGAGGAGTGGTCTCTTAAGGTCTAGGCCTGATTTTGATTTCCACTAGGCAGCTGCCTCTTCATAAAGGGGAAGGTCTCCACCCAGATCCCCAGGTCAGTAACTGCTGAGGATGGGGAGTTCCACAAAGATGATCTTAGAGCTCCTCAAAGATAATTCATGGGGAAGACAATGGCCTGCAGATCCCGTGCTAGGGACTCTGGGAAGAAGAGCCTGGAGAGATCCAGGATAAGTACAATCAGCAGCTGGACTGAGGCAGTTCTCAGAAGGGAGAAGGACCTGGAGAGGAAAAGGCAGGCTCTGGGAGTTGACAAGCATGGCAGGAGGGGCAATGGCCTGTGGAAAAATAACCCTGAGACCTGCTGTGTGTGTGCAATCAAGGACAGCTGCCTCTGCTTACTACTCCTGTCCGGTAAATCCAGTCTCTGAGTTAAGAACTGCTTTACAGTTTCAGCAGAACACTCTGGTTTCTCTTCATATCGTATAAATCTTTCGCCTTTTACAGTTTCAGCAGAAACACCCAATGGTTCCAACAGTCATCATGTTTAAAGCAATATTTTGGGTGGAAACAAGCCCCACCCAAGGCATGCCAGAAGCCAGGAGGGCCCAGCACACCTGACTGAGATGTCAGAGGAGGATTCCTTGGCCTGCCCCTGAGCTCACCTCCTGGATATTCTGCTTTACCCGGCTGTCAGAAGGATGCATGATTGTCCCCATCACTTTCATGTTGCCACAGACAACCAGGGCTTCGTCTGGGGCATCTGTGTTTATTCCTACTCGCCCATGACAGACAACAGATTCTGGAACTTGTCCTCGCTGCCATAATGCATCACTGTCATTTTCAAACTGTCCAGGGTTAGAGGCCTGGAAAAATGCATAAATATATTACAATTGAAGTTACAGTAGCAGAAATTGATAATCGTTAGTGTTCAGAACAAAGGAAAACAGAATGTTATCTAAGTCTTTCACATAAGATTCCTACTCTAAGTGGGGCATTCTGCTGTGTCTGAATAACTCTGGAGCCCCAGGAGAGCCAGGGAGGCATCTCTAACCACTCTACCTGTAACAGCACGAGCTCTGTAGGCTGTGGTTTGGGACACCCTATCTTTGTTGCATTTTTCTGGAATTGAGCATGTGATCAATTATACCCAGTGGATGATAAAGAAGGAAAAGAAAACTAAAAATGACTCTCTTTTCAGGAGAAATAATAATAATAATTTAATTCAGAACTTTACATCAGAAATTTGAATGTTTTTTAAACCTCAGATAAATAAAAAAATACCTTGCATTTATCTAGCCCCTTATAGTTTCAAAGCATTCATATTTGTAATTCCACATTCACTTGACAAGCAAATGATAATACAAATATATTTAATGTACCTCAACTATTCCCTAAACACAGATGGTACTGAAGGGAAGATAATAGCTATATATTGTGCGCTAATCTACACTGCAATTCTAAGATGGATCTATTTTCTTCATTTTATTGATACTAATACTCTGAAAAGATAATAAATTGCTAGAGAACACATAATTCATAAGTTCTAGAGCTAGAACTATACTTACTCTGATGATGAAGTAATGATGATGAAGTTTCCCTATTTCATAGTGTTGCTTAGAAGTAGCCTTTGCAGTCTTCACAAACTATTGGGCTAGCTGAAGTTCTGGAGATTTTACTCTTAAATAAAATCCTTTGCCAAAGAATTTTCCAATGTACTGCTTTCCTTCCTTCCTGTTTCCCTGTAACTTCTGAATATATTTTCAAATATCTTTAAGTAAGGAACTCAAAATCCTCATAAAATTAATTTGCTTTTAAAATGATGATATATTCTTTTTTCTGAAAATTTTAAATTCCTAAATACCTGTATTTAAATACCAATTTTTTTTCTTCTTTTTTTTATTGTTGTGCTGGGTGGGGGTATATTGTGGCATTTACAAATATGTATATTCTTACAATATATCAAATATATCATAGTTGAATTCACCCCAAAATTATGACATATTCTTCTAAACGTGATTTTTGTGTGTCGGAGGCAGGCTGTCACAGATTTAGACAGAGTTGGAAACCCGAACATCTAAAAAGTCAGCATTAATACATTGAGTTCACTTTTGCCTTTCTAGTGGCTAAACATTGTAAGCACAGCACCTGAATTACACAGGTTCTCTCTGAACACTACTTAGAAGCCAATCGCAACGGCTTCCTTAAGGGTAGAGATTGGGAGATCAAGACACTGGATGGAGGGAAATATATTGTTCTCTATATACTCTCCTGGTATTGTTTGAATGTTTTGTCATATGCATGCGTTACACATTGAAATATAACTAAAAGAAGCCACAAGGCTTAGTTCTTAGTTTAGTTTCACTTGAAGAAGTTTTAGGTGTCTTCAACTTCCTATTTCATTTCCACCTGTCTCAACCGTGAGCCACTTAGACTTCACCTTTGACTCTTGATAGACAAAAGCAGTTAAAGAAGTCACCTGAACAAAGAGCTGGATGTGAATGGCAAACTGGCTTTGACTCGAATTCTTTCATGGTGAGCAATCAACTAAATACAAAGATGTAATACAGAAAATGCTAATGTATTTTGCTCTATGCTGATTATAATAAGCCACTTCAAGGAAACAAAATAGGACAGTGATGGATTTCTTTGTTGTCATTAGTGTGTTTTGGGACAATTATTATGATGTTGGTAACTTGATATTGGAACAACAGATATAAGTAGATTTAGTTATTTGGAACAATTGCAACATTCTCACTTGGCCGTCATTAGATGAAAACTCAAATCTCTAAAATATATTCAAATTATTTTGAAAAGGGACACCTATCCACAATGATCTAAATATATAACCTGTAGGCAGGGGTCCTCATCAGAAATAAGACATATTATTATAAGATCTATGAACTTATTTCCCTTCTCCTGGAATACACAAACAAATTATAATAGACCACCTTTTTCCAGAATTATGAGTTTATAGTCATATGTGGCCCAACAAAGTGATTCATTAAAGTTTCTAAAATACTTTTATTGTTTGTTTCATAGCCTCATATATTTCGAGAAGATCTAAACATTCAAGCCTAAGTTATGTTACCAAATATCTATGTGATGTTAGGGCCTTCATTAATCTTTCTGTACCAGTGTTCTTCTCTAAAGAATAAAGACAATTATATCTTCTTTACCTGTCTCAGATGGTTATTATGGGATTAGCTGAAATCATGTGTGGATGAATAATTTGCAAAAATTAGGATGAATAGTCCCAAATTCATCCTTAACATGCTCTACTGGACACAGTAATCACTGTTTAACCTGATTAAACACTTCATGTACTCTTCTCGGCAACACACCTGCAGGGCTGCACAATACCGGGACTCTATTCAGGAAGAATGCAATGTAAAGGGTGCCCCCTGCAGGTGCTTACAACAGGAAACAGCATCAGTAGTAATTTGAGACCTACTCTAAGAAAAGCTAGCATTTCTTTCCTTTACCATTGTTTGTGATTCTAAAGCACAGCCAAAGAACTTAGTGAGAGAGCTTGACATGAAAAGACACCTCTTAAGTCCATTTTTTTACTTTTTGAAAGAGTTGCAAAAATGGGATGGACCTGGAGGTGCCCCCCACCAGTGCTATTCCAAGTGGAGTCTACATTTGGACACATCAGGGTCTGCCAGGAACTTGTTAGAACTACAGTCCCAGGCATCCTTGACCTATTAAGTCAAAAAACTCTGGGAGTAGACCCAGGTGTCTATGTCTGAACAAGCTCTCCAGGGAATTCTTATTCATGACACAGTTTGAGAATTTTTTTTGAGATAAGGTCTCTCCCTATGTAGCTCTAGCTGGCCTTAAACTCAAGAGCCTCTTGCCTCAATCTCCCAAGTGCTAGGATTATGAGCATGTGACATCACACATGGCTCTAGAACTACTTTTCTATGCAATACACTGCTGGTCACAACTTGCCCCTTTCATAGTTGATAGAAAGCTCTATTAAGTTCCAATTACAGGGTGAAAGAGACATACATTACTCCACAAACAGATTCCTTTGGGTAAATAAAAATTCATCTGACCTCTAGAAGAGGGGTGTGTGTGTGTGTGTGTGTGTGTGTGTGTGCTGAAAATGAGAAGGTAGGTTTGTGGTCAGAACTAGGTAAGAGTCAGTGAAAATGAGCTATTATCCAGGATGCCCTATCCCCATCCCTTGCTTCCTTATGGATTCATTGTGTCTATTGTCTTCCTTGGGAGCTGGTTTCCAGCCTCAATATGGTTTGCAGAGAAGTATAGGGGGAATTCTTAGGGATATGGCCATTTCTATTCTTCTGGGAAAGAAATGTGATAATTTGTTCATTTTTTTTTCATTTTTCTTTTATTATTCATATGTGCATACAAGGCTTGGTTCATTTCTCCCCCCTGCCCCCACCCCCTCCCTTACCACCCACTCTGCACCCTCCCGCTCCCCCCTCAATACCCAGCAGAAACTATTTTGCCCTTATTTCTAATTTTGTTGAAGAGAGAGTATAAGCAATAATAGGAAGGAACAAGGGGTTTTGCTGGTTGAGATAAGGATAGCTATACAGGGCATTGACTCACATTGATTTCCTGTGCATGGGAGTTACCTTCTAGGTTAATTCTTTTTGATCTAACCTTTTCTCTAGTTCCTGTTCCCCTTTTCCTATTGGCCTCAGTTGCTTTAAGGTATCTGCTTTAGTTTCTCTGCGTTAAGGGCAACAAATGCTAGCTAGTTTTTTAGGTGTCTTACCTATCCTCACCCCTCCTTGTGTGCTCTCGCTTTTATCATGTGCTCAAGTCCAATCCCTTGTTGTGTTTGCCCTTGATCTAATGTCCACATATGAGGGAGAACATACGATTTTTGGTCTTTTGGGCCAGGCTAACCTCACTCAGAATGATGTTCTCCAATTCCATCCATTTACCAGCGAATGATAACATTTCGTTCTTCTTCATGGCTGCATAAAATTCCATTGTGTATAGATACCACATTTTCTTAATCCATTCGTCAGTGCTGGGGCATCTTGGCTGTTTCCATAACTTGGCTATTGTGAATAGAGCCAATAAACATGGATGTGCAGGTGCCTCTGGAGTAACAGTCTTTTGGGTATATCCCCAAGAGTGGTATTGCTGGATCAAATGGTAGATCGATGTCCAGCTTTTTAAGTAGCCTCCAAATTTTTTTCCAGAGTGGTTGTACTAGTCTACATTCCCACCAACAGTGTAAGAGGGTTCCTTTTTCCCCGCATCCTCGCCAACACCTGTTGTTGGTGGTGTTGCTGATGATGGCTATTCTAACAGGGGCGAGGTGGAATCTTAGCGTGGTTTTAATTTGCATTTCCTTTATTGCTAGAGATGGTGAGCATTTTTTCATGTGTTTTCTGGCCATTTGAATTTCTTCTTTTGAGAAAGTTCTGTTTAGTTCACTTGCCCATTTCTTTATTGGTTCATTAGTTTTGGGAGAATTTAGTTTTTTAAGTTCCCTGTATATTCTGGTTATCAGTCCTTTGTCTGATGTATAGTTGGCAAATATTTTCTCCCATTCTGTGGGTGTTCTCTTCAGTTTAGAGACCATTTCTTTTGATGAACAGAAGCTTTAGCTTTATGAGGTCCCATTTATCTATGCTATCTCTTAGTTGCTGTGCTGCTGGGGTTTCATTGAGAAAGTTCTTACCTATACCTACTAACTCTAGAGTATTTCCTACTCTTTCCTGTATCAACTTAAGAGTTTGGGGTCTGATACTAAGATCCTTGATCCATTTTGAGTTAATCTTGGTATAGGGTGATATACATGGATCTAGTTTCAGTTTTTTGCAGACTGCTAACCAGTTTTCCCAGCAGTTTTTGTTGAAGAGGCTGCTATTTCTCCATCGTATATTTTTAAATCCTTTGTCAAAGATAAGTTGCTTATAGTTGTGTGGCTTCATATCTGGATCTTCTATTCTGTTCCACTGGTCTTCATGTCTGTTTTTATGCCAGTACCATGCTGTTTTTATTGTTATTGCTTTGTAATATAGTTTGAAGTCAGGTATTGTGATACCTACTGCATTGTTCTTTTGACTGAGTATTGCCTTGGCTATTCGTGGCCTCTTGTGTTTCCATATAAATTTAACGGTAGATTTTTCAATCTCTTTAATGAATGTCATTGGAATTTTGATGGGAATTGCATTAAACATGTAGATTACTTTGGGGAGTATCGACATTTTTACTATGTTGATTCTACCAATCCATGAGCATGGGAGATCTCTCCACTTTCTATAGTCTTCCTCAATCTCTTTCTTCAGAAGTGTATAGTTTTCCTTGTAGAGGTCTTTCACATCTTTTGTTAGGTTTACACCTAGGTATTTGATTTTTTTTGAGGCTATTGTAAATGGAATTGTTTTCATACATTCTTTTTCAGTTGCTCATTGTTAGTGTATAGAAATGCTAATGATTTTTCTATGTTGATTTTATATCCTGCTACCTTGCTATAGCTATTGATGATGTCTAGAAGCTTCTGAGTAGAGTTTTTTGGGTCTTTAAGGTATAGGATCATGTCGTCTGCAAATAGGGATATTTTGACAGTTTCTTTACCTATTTGTATTCCTTTTATTCCTTCTTCTTGCCTAATTGCTTCTGGCTAGGAATTCCAGTACTATGTTGAATAGGAGTGGAGATAGTGGGCATCCTGTCTGGTTCCTGATTTTAGAGGAATGGTTTCATTTTTCTCCATTAAGTATAATGCTGGCTGTAGGTTTGTCATATATAGCTTTTATAATGTTGAGGAACTTTCCTTCTATTCCTAGTTTTCTTAGAGCTTTTATCATGAAATGATGTTGGATCTTATCAAAGGCTTTTTCTGCATTATTGAGATGATCAAGTGGTTTTTGTCTTGCTTCTGTTAATGTGGTTTATTATGTTTATTGATTTTCATATGTTGAACCACCCCTGCATCCCTGGGATGAAGCCTACTTGGTCGTGGTGAATAATCTTTTTGATGTGTTGTGAATTCGGTTTGCCTTATTTTGTTGAGGATTTTTGCATCAATGTTCATAAGGAGATTGGCCTATAGTTCTCCTTTTGGAGGTGTCTTTGCCTGGTTTTGGGATAAGTGTAATACTGGCTTCATAAAATGTGTTTGGCAGTTTTCCTTCCCTTTCTATTTCGTGGAACAGTTTAAGGAGGGTTGGTATCAGTTCTTCTTTAAAGGTCTGATAGAATTCAGCAGAAATCCATCAGGTCCTGGACTTTTCTTTTTGGGGAGCTCTTGATTGCTGCTTCAATTTCATTTTGTGTTATAGGTCTATTCAGGTGATTAATTTCCTCTTGGTTCAGTTTTGGATGATCATATGTATCTAGAAATCTGTGCATTTCTTTAGATTTTCAAATTTATTTGAATATAGTTCTCAAATAGTCCTGATGATCTCTGGACTCCATGGTGTTGTTGTTATCTCCTTTTGCATTCCTAATTCTACTATTTGGTTTTTTCTCTCCTCATTTTAGTCAGGTTTGCCAGAGGTCTATGGATCTTGTTTATTTTTCAAAGAACCAACTTTTTGTTTCATTAATTCTTTGTATGGTTTTTTTTGTTTCTATTTCGTTGATTTCAGCTCTATTTTATTATTTCTCTCCTTCTATTGTTTTGGATTTGCTTGTTCTTGTTTTTCTAGGAGTTTGAATGTATCATTAGGTCATTGATTTGGATCTTTCAATCTTTTTAATATATGCACTCATGCTATAAACTTCCTCTCAAGACTGCCTTAGCTGTGTTCCCAGTAGTTTCTGGTAGGTTGTGTTTTCATTTCATTGACTTCCAGGAACTTTTTGATTCCTCTTTTATTGCATCGATGATCATTCTTCATTAAGTAATGAGTTATTTAGTTTCCAGCTGTTTGCATTTTTTGTCTTTACTTTGTTGTTGAGTTCTACTTTTACTGCATTGTGGTCAGAAGTATGCATGGTATTATTTGATTTTCTTATATTTGCTGAGGCTTGCTTTTGTGCTAGGATATGATCTATTTTGCGAGAAGGTTCCATGGGCTGGCTGAGAGAATTGTATATTGTGTAGAGTTGGAGTGAAATGTCTGTAGACATCTACTAGGGTCCCATTTTGACTTCTATTGCATATTTTTAGATCTTGGTATTTCTGAATTATAGGGACAGGAAACATATTCTGTAAACATGTCTGAAACTCATCTGACGTTGAACAATGATGCCATTTTTAAAGTTCAGGTTTTCTTTTTCTTGGTTGGTATAATGTTAAATAGCTATAGACAGAAAAGTACATTCATTTTTACTTCTGTGTTTTGTGTGTTTGAATGAAATAATATCCATAAGATGTTATGAGTTGCGAGTTATGAGGGTTTAAGTTTGAATCATATTCTTCTCATTGTTTTTAAGTTACCTTCGTGTTGTCCAAGCACACTTACCAGAATAGGATACCTCTTTAATCAAAAATAAAACCTAGGAGAAAGATATAAACTCTGGTAATCAATCTTTTTTAAATGAAAATTTAGTGAACAAATGACACCCAATCTATGCCAACTGTAATTTAATGCTTTTTCCTATTCTTACTAAATACAAATATAGAAACTTTCAAATGCCATTTTTAAAGTTCAGGTTTTCTTTTTCTTTCTGGTTGGTATAATGTTAAATAGCTATAGACAGAAAAGTACATTCATTTTTTTCTTGTGTTTTGGTGTTTTGAATGAAATAGCTATAGACAGAAAAGTCATTCATTTTACTTTCTGTGTTTTGGCTGTTTTGAATGAAATAATATCAATAAGATGTTATGAGTTGCGAGTATGAAGGGTTTAAGTTGAATCATTATTCTTCTCATTGTTTTTAAGGTTACCTTCGTGTTGTCCAGCACACTTACAGAATAGGATAACCTCTTAATTTCAAAAATAAAAACCTAAGGAGAAAGAATATAAACTCTGGAATACAATCTTTTTTAAATGAAAATTTGAGTGAACAATATGACACCGCAATCTATCCAACCGTAAATTTAATGCTTTTCCTATTCTCACTAAATAGCAATTATTAGAAATTTCAAACTTCTCAAGAGTCATCATATGAGCTAGTTATTACCCACCGCTTTGGATATGGAAGAGGTGCCAATAAGTCCAGTTTTTAGAATAAACAGACTTGGAGAGCCAAGTTCCCTCCCTCTCCTTGCTGTTGTGTGGACTTAGTAGCAGCCAAGCATAGCTAGCTGGGCAGGAGCTGCCAGCAGCAAATAGAGAAACCTTGTTGCCAGGTAAATTATTCAAAGTATGCAGATGACTACCAGACTGTCTGACTCAAGCATGGGTTACACAGCTCAGGACAGCACTTTCATGAGATCTAGTCTATGCTAACTTGGAAAAGAATGGCATTGCCTGTCTTCATTCCTTCTAAAGAGAAATCAGAAACAGTAAGCAGCCCAGTTCTCCAGACTTCATTTTAAATCCGATTTGTTAGCACAGCAAAACAATCCCAGATTACATCAAGTGATATGTCCAAGACAGCAATGACCCTGTAAGGGATGGACAGGTACCTCAGTGATTGGCTTGTGGCCAATGGACTGGGCCCTGCCTGTCTTTGTCTTAGAGAAACTACATTTGCCTCAGGTTTGTCAGGTTCCACAGAAACAGTCCAGGGCATGTGTGGCCTGTCCCCCCATTTCCCCTCACCCCCCCCATCCCCGGGATATCTGAGTGGACTCAACTATTTTACCTATCTATCATTGCTTCACCTCCAGTAAAATTTGGAGAGGTAATTGAAGGGTTTCCACTAATAGCTGGCTTATTATTTTTAATTGACTAAAAGAATTACAGAGGGACTTTGTTTCAGAACTGTTTGAGGCAGGCAAGGAGAAAAGCCTCATCTTCAAGTAGGCAGATCTTTTCCTAGGGCCTATGGTTAGACGCTGCCAACAGGCAGTGCACACGCCCATGGTGAATGGTTTTCCCTGTTGGAGTCTACCTGTTCTCCCTGCATCACTTCAAAGTCCTGTGATGATACAGCCCCTCCCAGAGCTGTTAGGAGGTGTTACCTCATGCCTCTGGAATCTCAGAGGTGGCCAGCCTGGACTCACACAGCTGCAGCTGCAGATGCCGGCAGCTTTATGTTTTTGTGCCTGCCAAGACTCCCATACACAGCTGCGACCATTCAACCAATGTGCTGAACCACTCCTAGGTGCTAGGTTATAATCCACATGTCGTGGGGTCACCAGTCACGTTAGGGTGTGGAAAGCCTTCTGGCACTTTCCCCACTCTGTGGGTTTCAGGTCAGAGAGATCTGGCTTGTAATCCAGGCTCAGTCATTTACAAGCTGTGTGATCATGGATAGTTATTTAACCTCTTGAGCTTCAGTTCCTCTGGCTGTAAAGAATATAAGGAAAATGTCTAGCCATGTAAAATGATGTCATGTATAGGTTGTCCACCTCAGTGCCTAGAATACTAAGTGAAAATAAGGATTTCTGAACCTCAGCACCACCAACATATCAGGAGGAATAAAACTTTGTGAGGAGGTTGTCCTGTTCATTGGAAGGTGTTGAAGCAGCATCCCTAGTTTCTTAGCCACTAGGTATCAGTTGTGACAACCAAAAATGTGTCCCGATATTGCCACCTGACTCTTGAGGGACAAAATTTCTCTTGGTTGAGAACCACTGTTTAAAAATTAAAATAATAGTTTCTACTATTGCCATCATTGTCATCATCATACTTTAAGTATGTTACTGAAAATTCAAATTCTTCCCATGGGGGGAAAAGCACATGGGATCTAGAGGAATCAGAAAAGTGAACTTACCCTTACAATGATCCTTTCAGAGATGTGGGCAGACAACAGATAGAACTGGTCTTGGTTAGCAGCATACAGTCCAACCACCAACATGAAGTATCTAATTCAGAAACAGCAAACCAATGCCAACACATCAGGGAGCAGAGACTTAATTTGTGAAGTCAAATACTACCCAATAGTTAATTAACGGTGCACTTACCTAGACGAGTTTGCTCATTCAAAGATTGCCTTGTCCCTTCTGCTGTCAGTTGCACCCCCAGAGAAAAGGGAGAGCAATTGATTGAATTGCTATTGATGTGGCACCCTTTGCCCAGTTGAAGGTGTTTATGAGGTGTTTTGCAGGCCCCAGAGCAACAGGAAAGCAGTGCCCCAGTGGAGAGACCTTCTGGGGGCCTAAACTGGGCCCACCTGTGCTGACGCAGCCATGCCTCACCCAGCTGCATTTCTGGGCTCTTAGTATGACATCACTCACAAACACAACAGGAAGCCACCAGAGGTCTCTGTGCCCAGAACTATCCAAGCCCTGTGCCCTTGGCTTTAAAAGAGGGGCACTCAGCAGGGTTTGCCCACCACACTGGCTCCTTCCCACCCCGACCTGCTCTGGCCCATGTACATTGTATCTTCAACATCTGCAGGTCTTGACTTTAGCCCAAGACCTGAACCTCCCTCCAAGTGTTCCCAAGGCATCTCTCATCATTGTTATTTTAATAGCTTCTTCATATATACCGTCAATTTTAAGAGTAACAATTTTAAGATTAGACTATTTTTTTGAAAGTCAAAATAAAAACTATCTCTATCAGAGAGGTTTTGCCTTAAAAACTGCATGAAAAATTTTACCAACTTCCCCTGGAGTATTACTGGAGTTCCTGGCCAGTAGCCCTGGCTCTGGATCTACATTAAGGGAAAATGACATAGTGTGTTTGTGTATATAAAAAATAATTTATTTACAGTTTTGAAATTCTCATTCTGTCTCTACTTTGTCCACTGGAAATGTGCATATAGTTATATAGCTGTAGAGCCCATGTGTGGGTACCAGAAGATTATCTTTCTTCTGAGAGATGAGTCTCTTGGCCCAATAGCTCTTGGGCTGGCTATTTTCAGTCCAGCATGTCATCGTCCACAGGGTTGCTAATTCCTAGGGTCTCCATTACAGTAGAACTCTAGGCTCTCCAATATCTAGAGATCAAGGTTCTCTCCTCTACCTAATAAATCAGTAATAGCAATAATTGCTATCGTTATTGTTACCAACTACCATCTTGGACTCAAAATGTGCCACGCACTGGGATAAGTACTTTTCCTACATTATTAGGACCCAAAACAACCTTATTGGAATAAGATATTGTTTTTGTACCCATTTTAATGATAGTAAATGAGTCTCAGAGAGGTTAAGTTATAAGCCTAGCATATCAAGTGTTCAAACTCCATTTTTCCCAACACTAAAACTTGTGTTCTAAACCCAGTGGGAGCATGAATCAGAATTATCTGGAAGGCTTGTTAAAATACAAATTGTTAAGCCCCAGTTCTTGAAGTTTTAGTTCAGTAGGTCTTTAGTGAGGCCTGAGACCATGCCTTTCTAACAAGCATCCAGGTCCCTGCTAGTCCTGGGACTACACTTTGAGAACTACAGAGCTAAATTATGAGGCAAATTTCTTTTCTTTTCTAATCAGAAGGTTATGGTTCAGCTTCAGGACCAGCACACAGGTCAGTCATTACCTAAGATGGCAATGAGACATGAGCATATGGTCACTCTAGAGAACCATGTTGGGAATCAAGGCTGAGCAGGAGAATGGGTATTGCTGAGAGTGAGGATGGGAGAAGAAAGACATCTATAGGTAAATGAAACACATTAACAAATTAAAAGAGTCAGAGAGGGGAGTAAAGTGGCTTAAGGAGATCCAGACTGCCAACTGGTAGGGACAGGAGGAGGATCAGAGGTGCCCCAGAGGCCACTTCCTGGTTGGATGAGCTGTCTGACCACCCTGTGTTCACAGTACCCAGTACCTCTGGTCAGGATTTGGTTTTCCCTTCTTTCTCATGTTGTTTGCTGTGGTTTCACTGAAGTGTAATCGTCCCAGTGTTACTTTGGTGACCTGGTCAGCCAGTAGGTCAATTCTAAGACAAACAGCAGAAATACCAAGAGACTGTAAGAGAACAGAGTTCTTGATCATATCTAATCCACACTTAGACTCTCAAATTCTCAACTATTCTAGTCACTTGTTAGTCAACCATCCACAGCATGGGCAGGAGTGGCCAACAGGGAAGAATAAGGAATGACTCTCAAGAGATAAGAAATACTCACTGAGCAGAAGCTCCTCCCAAAGTTCTGACTCATAGGGCCCTTGTGTTCTGTATGCCACAGATGAGTTCTGTTATCTCCACAGTGGGGAGAAAAGACACCTTTCATCTGTGCTGCTGCCACTGTTACTACAATACGCATCTCCTCACAAGCAACTTCTCTGGGTTCTCTGTGAGTACCTGGCCTTCTCCTTCATGTACATGTCCTCTCCTGCCTAGATGGGAAGCAGCTTTCTCCAAAGGAAGGTCATGCACAGCCTGCCCAGACAAGTGAGAAACAAATACACCAGGCAAGTTGAGTACTGTATTTGTTCAGTGCCTTGCTGCACAAGTAGTTTGTACAAGTTAGTCTGTCCAGAATGTAGAACCGCCTTCCTCCAAGACCAAATGGGATTGACTGAGGATCTGAGATGTTTCAATTGCATCCCAGCCAAAGGAGCCAGAGTAAATCCCACTCCGTGCCATTCTAGAGAGAGGACTCTAACTTTGGACTACAATACTGCTATGGATACTACCAGTTGTGCTACCTTTCTATCAATGTAACCTTAAAAAAGAAGAAAAAAATGAATTGTATGCACAGCAGAGAGCTAGAACCTTAAAATTTATTCAATCAGCATTGTGCTAATTTAAATGAAATATTAAAAGAAAGATCTAGTTATAATCTATATTAATGAACCAAAATTATTGTAAGGTTGTTAGTAATAAAGGATTATAAAAAAGGATGATGTTTTTAAAATGGATCTTTCCAAAAAGAACATTTTTATGGGCTGGGGGCATGGCTCAAATGGTAGAGCACCTGCCTAGCAAGGTCAAGGCTCTGAGTTCAACCCCTGTTATTGCCAAAAAAAGAAAAAGAATTTTTTACAATGGCTTCAATCTTCAAAGTATTTACCAACTTTATTTTTTTAATAAATGTGTTTCATAATATTAACATACTATTACTAATTTAGATTCAACAGTGGGTTTCATTTTAAACAAGCAAAATAAATTAGATGATAAACTTTCTTCCCAAATTATTCACCAAGGAATTCCAAAAAGAAGTTCTTACTTAACAGGATTGAAAATCTTTTTGCTTCTATCTGCCTGGGATTGTTCAATAGCAATTATTTGATTGGTGGCTTCTGCCTGTACGAGACAACAAAAATTAAATTACTTACTTAATAAATTTATCTATTAATAAAGTTGTTCAGTAGTAGAGAATGGCCAGGTACTAAGATATTTTTCCATAGCACCATGCTAGGCTCTGGGCAGGAGGTGCAAATTCCTGAAAAGATATACAAAACAATTGCCCTTGTCTAAAAACAGAGTGCTATTGATGAGAAAAGAGATAAATACCTTCAAAATTAAATACAGGATGAAATAAAGATGAAAACACAAGACAACAGAGTGTCTCAGGTAAGCAGTGAATAGAGTGGGCTAGTAGATGACTGAAACATCAGGAGTAGAAAGCAAGAGCAAGGCAGCTCAAAGGATGCATGCACGGAGTCATTCATGTATCCATTTGTTCAATGAATGCTTACTGAGGACCTGCTGTTCACCAGGCATGGCACTAAGCATTTGAGATAAGTGGACAATGTATGCACATATAGAATATCACAGTGAATCCCACTAATCTATATAATTTATATATGTTAATAATTTTTTTATTATTAACATATATAAATGTGACCAGTGGACAATCACATATAATATATATCACTAATCTATAATTATATAATTTTTTTTAAATGAACAAAATTAACAAAAATCCATGCTCTAGGGGAGCTTACATTCTAATATAAGGAAACAATAATATAGAATATAAACAAGTAAAACATAGGAAATGACATTCACTTGGCACCTGATCTATATTCTTCTTGTTATTCTATGAATAGTGGCAAGGCATAGTGGGATTAGTCCTGTATTCTGCTTGTGGTTATGCACATTGGAGCAATCTTTGTGGAAAGCAATCAAGCAGCCTATATCAAGAGTTTTAAGAGTTGTCACATCTTTGTAGTGTATATTCCCTTTTGGAATTCATCCTCTTGCAAAAATAGGTATACACAGATGTTCAACACAATTTTATTACCAACTATACAACTGCATAGTGGAAATAAATGAAACTTGCAATAACACAGTAATTACTATTATGCATCTATACAATGGAAAACAATAGCATCTTTGCAAACAACATTTTATGAGGTCCTTAATAATGCCATGTATCTTCACAATATAATATTAGCAATAGGAGATTAATTTTGATAATTGGAAAAAATCAGGTTATCAAATGGTAGGTCCCTTGCATTTTCATTGTGTACCAAATATTTATAATGGAATCCCATTACTTCCATATTCAGAAAAGTAGGATTAATTGCTGTTGCTTATCTGCTTATTGTTTGTATTTATTTGTTTTTATTGTTTGTTTTGTTTTAAGACCTCAATTGGAAACAAAAGTGGTTAATGTGTCCAGCCACCTGGCCCTGTTTTAGAAGATTTCATACCTAAACCCAGGCTAACCATCAAACCGAAATATGTAGGTCATGGACACTTGTCCCCTAAAGCGCTTGCTGTGATGATAATTTAATAAATACTTCTTTCTTTTTCTGCTGTACTGGGGATTGAACCCAGGGTCTGTGCTTGCTAGGCAAGTGCTCTACCACTTAAGCTATGCACCAGCCCTTTTGTTTCTTTAGGTTTGAGGTAGGTTTTTGCTCACTTTGCCAGGGTTGGCCTTGAACTTGCAATCCTCCTGCCTCTGCCTCCTGAGCAGCTGGGATTTTAGGCACGTGCCATGCAATAAATGTTTTTTGACCTCTCAGAAGTCACACTACATATGTTCTACACCCAGCTCTATCGTTTACTGCATTGGATAAATTGTGTAACATCATTAGTCCTCAGTTTCCCTTCTCTAAACTACAGAAAAGGGATATTGCCTAAATTAATGGTTCTTTGGACTTTTGAAGTCAGAGACCTCTTTGAAAATCTGGTAAAAACTCCACATGAAAATGCGCTGGTATCCATTGGAATAAAATAATTAAGAATAAATTTAGTAAAAGAAGATTTATGTTACAGTTTGAACTGATACTGTGCCAGGTTCTGAGCTCAGTCTACAGAAAGTAGCAGCTTTCACAGCTTGTGTATTGGAACTCTTATTCTTATAACCCATGTACCATTCTGAGAGGAAGCACAAGCTATCCCTCAAAAGGTCCACATGGAGAAGAGTTAAGGCCTCCTAACTATAGTCACATCTGAGCTCCCAGCGATGACCAGCTCAAGCATGTCAGGCATGTGAGTGAGCCATCTTGGAAATCGTCCAGATGATCTGCTCCACCAGATGACTATGGAACAGAGATGAGTTGTGATAGCCAAGTCCTGACCCAGTTACGTATTTGTGGTCCAAATAAATTACTGTTATTATTTGAAGTCACTAAGTTTTGAAATTGGAATAGACAATTGGAACACTTAATAAAATGTTGACTGAATTCAATTGAACTAAATAAAAGATTTACCTTAATTCCAAAAGCTTTCAAGTAAAACATTTCTATTGGCTTTAGGCCCACTTGAGTTTTAACAAATTTTGGACTTCCCCAAACTTGGATGTGGATGGTTATCTGAAAATGGTTCTTCTTTTGGCAAACAAAAGCTTCATCTGCTGGTGAGAAATTAAATCCTTTGTCTGTCACAACTCGATAGTCCACATCAGGTCTATGAAAAGAGGATCAGGAAACCAATTTCACAAATATTTTCTACACATTTTCTTTGGCAATTTCAATCGTATAAACATTTCAAGAAACTATATTGTGGAGCATGTCTTTTGCTGTATTAAATCAATTGATTTTTAAAAAATTTTTACTGAGGAAATAAAAATGATATTTCAAAACATAGCTGGCTATCTCCCAGATTTTTATTTTCTCACAAAGAAGAAATACAATTTTTGCCAAATGGAAGCTTTGTTTCCTGAGACTGCCTTTCCTCTTTCTTCTTCTTAAATTTTAATTTGACTTTATAATACAGTAACAAGATGTAAGCTAGAAGCTGAAGTGACCACATAACTTAGAAGTATCTAGGATAGAATAATCTCTTTTTTTCTTTAAAAAAAGTCTCTAAATATCACCAGCAATGCCATACTTAAATAGCCATTTAGATGAATGAATGTTCAGCTCATTTGGTGGTCATTTGGAAAAGTGGACTGGTCTGAATTACCAGGAATAATTTTAAAACAAATTAACCACAGCCAGTCGTTCTACTAATTATAAAGCTATTTCCCCTAGAGTGTGATCATTTTCTTTTTATCCTCCCAATTTGGTAGCAGCACTGAAAACCTACTATGGAGATATCTTCTGCAGAAAGGTATGACATGGTGATGGGGTGACAATTCAGACTTTTGCTCTACTTGTTTTATCACTGCTATTTCCAATAGCAATGCTTTGTGTATAACATGTTTAATAAAATACTTAAACTATTAATACTTCTAAAATGTTTTTATTAAGAAAACGTTAACTGCATAACATTATTAAGTAGAGAATATAAAAGTTGGAAACTAATGAGTTTTTCCTATATATGCTGTACATAGGGAACATGACTTTTAATTCCTCAAGGTTCCTAAATAAGGATTCTCTCCTCAACCTTTCAGGAAAGAAGGCTCTTTAGAACTACAAATGGAGGAGGGCTGTACTCACTGCTGTACTATGTGCAGATCTTTGTCACCTGGGCTCTCAGTGTGGATGGCTGCCATTATCATGAACAACATAGAAACTATTAATAGGTCTCTTAGGAAAAGAGTTTCCATGTTCTTTGCAAGATAAGCACCTCCCCAGTGGATTAGGTCATTAGGTCATTGATTACCTTCCAGTAGCTTATCAGTCAAAGCTTCACAATCATAGTGCCTGCCAGCAGCAAAGGGAAAATCCACTAGACAAAGAATTTGGTAAAGACTACATATCTTATGCTATCTGGAAACTTTATATTGACTCAGGTTTCTATAATTAATCTGCTAATTGTTCATCTAAAAGCTAGGGATGGATAGACTTGTATCAATTTTACTAATATTAAGACTGGTTGAGGGAAAAAAATAAGAATATTTTTTGCGATGTTCTAAGCTTCCCTATCAAAAGCTCTGAAAGAATGTGAGGCTTACAGCTCACATTCTTATGAGCATTAGTTGAAACTTCAGAACAGCTCTAAGAAGAAACTGAATCAACCAATAAGAATCATACTGCCAATCTGATTATAGAAATCTACTCACCTAAAAAAGGCAATTCTGCTTTTGACATCAAAAATGAGCATAAAGTAAACTAAATTGGATTTTTAAGAGCTTTTTTATAACACAACTTGGAAATATCATTCAGAAAAAAATTTTAATAAATTTTTAAGCCCTAACTTGTTTTTCCATAATCTAGGAAAACAATATTTTGAACAAATTAAACATTATCTGTGAAAAAATAAGTGATTTTCTATCTCAATGATGTGAATCATGAAATTAGGAGAGCCTGGTTGTTATCATATATGCCTTCCTCTTTTACTTAAAAAAAGTGAATTATGGCTAAATATTCAAAATAAATCTGCCTTTATAACTTTGAGTTGATATCACCTGTGTTCTCGGTTTTTTCCCAGATCAACAGACCAGAGATAGACTTTTAAAATAAGCATTTTTAAAAATCCCTTCATGAAAGAAGAGCTGTAACTCTTACCTCAAAAAATTTGATCAACTCAGATGCATAGAGACAGAAAAGCATGAAAGGTTTTAACTAAAATGTGTGTGAGAGTTTCATACCTTGGTACTCATACTTTAGATAGAACATTGGATGCTCCCCCAAAGATAATCAAATGAAAGCTAAGTCTCAAAACCAAGACCTAGAGATCCTTTATTTCATTTTCTGATTACACACAATAACAAAGTTGTGACATTTCAATGATACAATTAGCAGTTCACTTCCTTTTGCCTCCTGTTAAGCTCCCAGAGTCTGTTTAACTCCCTAAATTTTTTTAAAGAAAAATATTTCTTCCTTCTGGTCCACTCAACATAAAAGTCCTACTGATAAGATTTGCAATATTTGAATTGCCCAATATTTCTTATTTTATATTATACTTATTACTTGAAAATCTAATTCTTTGACCACTGATTTTTTTTTTTTTTTTTTTTTTTTTAGTGTTTCAAGAAGGCATTTTTAACCTAAGAAAACTATAGAAGTCTTAGGAAGGTTTAAAGGACATTTAAGATCAATAATTCATGAATCCACATTTATTTTTAAAACTGCAATGTCATAAAAATAGGATGAAAGTTTTCCAGTTTAGGATAATTTATATGATTTTATTTCATACAATGTGTGTGATTTATGATTGAATATAATGGTTGCAGGTTAAATATTCAAAACAGAGTATGTCGACAATGAACTTAATAATACTTAGTCACAGGGTTGAAGTTAGGGGTGGTCATTGGCAATTTAATGCAACCCCCAAAGTATTCTATGGTATTGTAAATTTTCTGCTGGATTAACGTTAGTGATTTGGGAAAGCTCCATTCTCCAGCTTTTAGTTTAAACTGAGCATATGATCCCAGAAAGATTTCCTCTCCTGACAGCATTTAGTGGGTAAATTATAATGAGTTAGAATTATAAGTCTGGGTTCCTGAAGGCCAGAAACCCATGTCCCAACTATTCATTAGTTAGCATGCAAACCACAAGATGTAAGACAGACATTTTCTCATTGGCCCACCCCATCTGACTAGGGGTGGCATCAAAGCCCAAATACTTGCACTTAGTCCCAAGAATTAACACTGCCTTCCCTCTACCCAGTCTCCAGTCTACCCCAGTATTGCTAAGACCACTTACAGTTTTTCGTAATGACTGTTTAATAAGCTATGCCAAGGAACACTGTAGTATGGCTGCCACTTCAGAGCAAGAGAGCACTGGTCCACAGGCATCCCGTTCTGTCCCTTGCTGTCATTGTCCTGTACATCACTGTTATGACTCCTACTTGTCACTGAAAAGAAATAGGTAGGTTAGATTCTTCCTACCAGACTGACTTTAGAGATTCACAGATAGCTGCGTGTAGCTAATGAGCAGACCACGTGTATGCAGAGTGACTACGGAACATATCAAGTTCTGGAAGGCAGGAGGCATGCTCCTGGCCTGTGTCCACATCTATAAGAAGAAAAGTGTGGGGTCAGTGATCTCTAAGTGGAGGGGGGAAAGTTGGTAGACACTTGTGGGAAATTCCATCCCCAATGTCTTCCTACCCTAATCCCTGCATAGTTTCTCTTAATTTCCAGTCCATGTAGTCTGGCCAGCTCCAGGAAGGTAGTTAATCCAGGTTTGATCAACCAAAGTACAGCATTTAGTACTCCAATCAGGGGTGGCTGAGTGGACTAGATCAATCCAAGTAGAGTGGATCTCAGCATTCAGGAAATGTGGGTTCCAAAATGCTCTCTCTTTTCCATGAAATTTGAAAACCTGGGAATGAATTCCCAAGAGCTTCTGTCACCATTTGAGGACATGAGGGAAAAACCAGTAGGAAACAGAGTTGAAAACAAAGGACTCCTATTCCTGATGTGATTTGAGTTCTGGGTACAATCCTAAACTCTTGTGTTATAGGAGCCAACAGATTCCTGGATTTGATGAGGTGAGTGTTTTGTTTAGGGGACTTATTTTGAGGATTCTGGGGATTTTTTTCCTGCTTTTTATTTTTTTTGGTAATTGTAAATAATCTGTCCTAACATTACAGGTCTTTATGGCTCCAATAAGCTTTTTGAACTTAGCTGAATTACTTATTCACTTATAATCCAACTTCCCTCAGCTGCAAAATAAAAATGAAAGACACGTGTGCTGTTCATCTTGCAGCATGACATAAGCAGAGAGAATAAGATAATAGAAGTGAAAGCACTTTCAGAAGTTAAAACCAAGACAGAGCAGCTCTTGTTAGTATGCAGTATTGACTATATGAACTGCCACTTTCATATGTCAAAAATAGTCAAGTAACAGCAATTTCACATGAACAAACACTACTTTTGCATAATCCTTGCAAGTTGTCTGTCTTAATTTGAGTATGCGTCTCAAACTGTACAATTCAACCCCAGACAATTTTTATGTAAAATGCTATTATTATTGTTTCTGTTTCCCTTTTCTTCTAACAGCCTATCGTCACTCAAGCCTGGCATCAGGAGTGAAAAAAGAAATAGTGGGCGTGGGTTAGATCAGGTGCAGACTGTCAGCAATAACACAGAAACAGGGTATTAGCTTCTACAGAATGTGCCACTTAGCTGGAGCTTGAAGTAAATGCAGGAGTAAAGGGCTAGGTTTTCTTTTACTCATCCACTTTTGTTTCTTACATTCCTATTGAGGACTTCATAAAATCAATAGAGCTTCAAGTTGCTTTTGATCCCAAATGTCACAGGAAATGTATTTTTCTTTTTCATCTAAGCAAAACAAGTTATTTTCTGGTTTTTATAAAACACCCATGTTAGAGAGATTTAAAATTCTGAAAAACTGTTTCCCATCTAAGAACACAGCAGGTGGGCAATACAATGACTGCTCATGCCCTCACTCCTCCAAAAGCTACCTGGCCCAAAAACAAGAACAAAACCCATCTATAGTTCCACTTCCATCAAATTCTAAGAAAGCAGAAGATAGTTCTTCCTTCTTTCCTTCCTCTCTCCTACAAGGGACAGAGGGTCAAGGAAGGATCAGTTTGATCCACACCTATTGGCTAAATATGCTTAGGAAATGATTTAAGCTCGCTGAGCCTCAGTTTCCTCACTTGCAAAATGGGAATAACCTTATGCTAAAACCGAGGGCTGCTAAAGGATTCAATGAGATAATGTCTGTCAAGCATGTAGCCCAGTGTCTGCCACCAGTAAGCATTTTAGCAATGCTGCCTGAGGTATTGTTAGTGACACCATCAATACTGACTGTACTTGTTTCAGCTAGGTGACTCAATTATTCCTAAGAAGCCTTGGGAAATACTTCTGTTCTTGGCCTCCATGTAATTCTAACTGATGTGAAGTAACTATCAGGTGTGCCTGACAGAAGACTGGCTAAACCTTTTCCTACTCAAGCATGGTAGCAAGGTCAGTGCCCAAATGCACAGCCAAAGGCCATCTTGACTCCTTCAGACACTGGTGGAGAGAGTGAAGAGGGATGCAAGGGCATTGTCACGGTCCTCAAGGATAAAGGCATTTCCTGCTCTTTCCCATCACAGTAACATAGGTATTGGAGCAGCCACTCCAACAGGAGTGCCATAGCCAATGCTTCCCTAGTTGCTGCTTGTTGGTAAGACCCTAGGGACTACAAGCCTACTCTGAAATTCCAGGCACAAGCCCGAACCCAATGCTGGAATTTAAAAATAAGTTAATAATAGTAATAATAATAATAGAGTCAGACATGATGTCACATGCCTGTAATTCCAACACTTGGGAGGCAGAGTCAGGAGGATTAGGAGTTTGAGGCCAGCCTGATTTGCATAGTGACACTCTGTCTCAAAAAAAAAAAAACAATAATGATAATAATAAGTCAAGTATTCTGAGTGCTTTCTGTACTCCAGACACTGTCCCAAACACCTCTCATAGCATTTAGTTAACTCTTATGATACCTACAAGGTGAGAATACTTTTTAATCAATAAACTTTCCTTATTAAAATATACTTTACATGAAGAAAAATACACAGGTCATGAGCATGCAATTTCATACTTCTTTATAAAATGAACCTTACTATGTAACTACCATTAGATCAAGCAACGGGACATTTTCAGCCCTCTACATGCCCCCTTCCAATAATTACCTTCTCCTACCTAAAACTGACCACTATCCTGAAATCTAGCAGCACAGAAGAGTTTATAGAAATGGAAGATGACATGTTAGCTTCTGCTGTCTGATGTTATATTTATGAGATTCATCCATTATTTTGCAAATGGCAGTCCTCTGTATCATACTCCTTTGTATAAATGGGCCAGCTGAATCTACCATTGACAGCCATTGGAGATAGTTTCAGTGTATGGATATAATGAATAATGCTGTGATGAACATTCCTGTGTGTGTGCACATTTCTGTTAGGCCTGTTCCTAGATGTGGCATCACTGGGTAGTAGGATATGCTCAAGGAGATGCCACCAAACATTTCTAAAGTGGTTATAATGCAAGGATTCCTAATCTCATTAACAAAAGTGGAAACTGAGGTTCAGAGACCTGATATAACTTGCCCAGTGTCAGAGCTATTAAGTGAAAAGAGCTAAGGTTCAAGCCTTCCTCTTCCCTTCATGCTGTCTAAGGATTTCTGAGAAAATCCAACATAGAGAGAAGTAGAAGAATGGGGGCAGCAAAGCCCAAGTTCCAACCTCTGAAAAAAGTTGATAGCTTGCATTGGAATGCTTTTCAAAATATATTGTCTATTTTTCCTTAAAAAAAATCTCAGAGATGAGTGAAGTCAAAACTAGAATTGTACATTTGATAACCAAGAAAGTAATGCCCTGAGACAACTGTTACTGGAGAGACAAGACACGCATGTCTCCTGACTCTGACAGCATGCTCAGCTTGTGCACCCCTTACTGTGGGCCAAAGGTTCTGGCTCCAGGGCTGGAAACCCCTTTCATATTTGAGGCTCAAAATATGCAAGGATTGAAGCCTCCAAGGAGTGTATGGCCATGGCAGGTAGGGCCGGAAGTCTGCCCGCCAGCCACTTTCTCTCTGAGCAAGATTTTATATCTGCTCATACCAATCCAGTAACTCTACATTTCATGTTCTACAAATGAGGTCTTGGACCCCCACCCAATGACAACTGCCCACTGAAGAAAGTCACTGACAAAGTCACCTTGACTGATTTAGACTATCTTCTCTCTGAAAAAAAATTAGCCATCCTACTCCTGCCTATAAGGCCAGTGTGAGCTCATTCTACCTCTACCAATGTGCTCTTACCATAGAACTCTGTAAAAGCTTCTGGCCTTTGCAACATCAAATATAAGATCTCCACCAGAAAATGTATACTAAAACTATAATGAAAACATGGCACTTGGATTAACTAAGTCTTTGCTTTTTGTCTCCACCTCCCCCCAACCCTTGGCCCTAGGAACCTGCTTATTTTCATTCTTGAACAGTTGTCTGGAAACAATTATCTTTAGTCAGCTTTTCAGTGACCTTTAACTAGGACTTAAACAAAGGGATTTAGGGGTTCCTATCTGTTGGGACATTTCAGTTATTCTCCCAGGGCTTTTTTTGAAGATGGTGAAAAAAAATCAATGCTTTGTCTGGAACAGTGAGCAGAAAATCATCACAGGATGTAGTTAACTCTGAAATGGCCAGGACAAGTTGAGCAACAACCTGGCCCACTGAGGAAACTATTGGAAGGTTTGAGTGACTTGCCATTCATTCCCCTAGGGAGCTGAGGCATCTGCAAGAGGAGTGAGCAGATGGTTCCCTCATCTGGCTAGGAATTTGCTCAGCCTTTATGTTTTAGCAACAGGCTAGATTCAGGGATCCCTGGAGAAACCAAAGTTTGTTTATACAAGGGCTGGATGCCCAGTACAATTCTGACATAGCACTCCAAGGAGATAGCAACATGTGGGACTTGACTGAAAGGGTGATGTAATCTGCCACCAAAGGCTCCCCACAGCCCATGCAGAAGCTAAAGACAGATGTCCCTGAAAGAGTCAACTCTAACCATGGGGTTATGAAAGGAAAAGGCAGCAACTTCAATGGTCAGAAAGCCATGTTCATCTTCTTTAAGAGCAGCATAACCCTCTAGAATTTGGAGACAGGACTGGGAGGGGAAATCCCCAGAGGAAATCCTAGGCTTCTTTCTAAGTTGATTCATGGAGACAAAAAGATGGGACTTGGTACCCCAAACTTGGGGCACTCTTCACACTGCCTACATTTGAGTATTTACAGTAGCTAGTAGAATTTGGCCTGGAGTATTATTCTTTTCCTTAACATAAGGTAGGAATTTGAGCTATGGAAAGTTCTGATAATCCAAGTCTTCAGACTCCTAAACACCAACTCTTTCCCAACTTGATTAGGTCTCTGAACTCAAAACATGATGCATTACATGTCATGTAAGAAGAAAAACTAAGTAGGCTGACCAGCTGGACATCAACTCTTTCTGATAAAGACTTCTAAAATGATTTTACAAAATTTCAAAGATCTAGTGAAAATCTGCCAATCTGAAGTGTGAGGAAAGCTCACACTTCTCTATGGAGAAATCCTCTGAAGTCTTGTTCTTAGAGCACCTTCCATGACCCAGTAGCATTGGCCTCATCTGGGAGCCTGTTAGAAATGTAGGTCTCATCGCTTCTCGGCCTTTTGGCTAAGATCAAGTGTAGAAATGTAGGTCTCAGACCCCAGCTCAGATTTATTGAGTTAGAAGCTACCTTTTACCAAGATCCCTGTGTTAATCTGTATACACTGAAGTTGAGAAGAATTGCCGTCAACAAAGCAATGGGCATACCAGCAGGCTCTTTAAGGCACTGTACCACTTTCCCTGCATTCTCTAAGACACATTTCTTCTCAGATTGAAAGTCTGGCATTTCACCTGCACCAGAGAGACAGAAGGGCATCTGTTCCTGGGAACACCTGTGTGACCCAGCTGCACAAAAGATATGTCAAGAAGGAAGATTAAATTCCCAGAACCTATTGTTTGTTGTCTGTCTCTGGGAGAGAACATAATTTTGTAGGGCTGCTGAAAGACCAGTAAAAAGCCTTGATCCAATGGCCAAGACTTTGATGGCCTTGACTTTGTCATGGCCCGGGTTTGCTCACTTGGTCTGCAGGGGTGGGTCCACACTCGACTGTCCCCAGAGTCTTCCACTGTGTCTGTGTGTTTTCTCTTCTTGGTTGGAGGCAATGAGGCTCTAAAGTTAAGAAACCGAAAGGAGGGTTAGGATTCATCTTTGCTTTCCATATTCCTTTACATTGGATTTAATTTCCCAGGTCTCTGCTCTCTTCTTTCCTAAATCTAATCTCAGTAAATTAAGGTTTCTTGAGCCCTACTAGTCTGAAACATAGTCTTCTTTTATCCAATGAACCCAAGATTCATCTGCCTGAAAATAAATAAAATGACAACATTTTCAAAGGCAGAAGCCTCCTTGAGAGAGAGAAGACATAAACTTAAAATATACATGTGCAATTTGCACCTGAGAACATTTCCATATGGAGTTTTACCACAATTTTTATGGTCTTTACCTTTTAGATCCAAAACAAAGAATAAAAGGGGGAAAAAAGATTGGTGAGTGCTTAATTGACAGTTCTTGGAGACCTCATTCACAAATTTCCTTGAGTAGTCTGGCTAAGGCTACATAAGCAAACACTGCTCCCTTTCATCACCCAGAATTTCTCTATATATTTCTGACATTTTAGCTTTTTGCTGAATGGGGAACTTAGGTTTAATGAGTTTTTAATTATGATTGTCTAAGCCAGGAACACTGGGGCCTTGGCCTCACTGTGTCCTATATGCATCTCAATACTGCCATCTCCTGGAAAGGTTCCTGCTGTCCCTTCTCTCTGTGTCACTGCTGGGGGGTGATGGAGACTGAGGCTTTCTGCTGAGGTCTTTCAAAACTAAATGTCTTGCCCTTTACCCAGGGACGTGGCACAAAGGTTGCTGGTAAGAACAACTTATCCCCAGATGGGAGGATGCAGTTTGGTCCAGAGGGGTGGCAGGGTGGCTGGTGTTTGGGTAGCAGTTGTGAAAGTTGCTGTTTGTTTGAGTAGAGTCACTCATTCCAGACATGCTGTGCAGTGGGTGCACAGGCAGCAGCCCAGGTGCAGCTTTGGAGTGGAGAAAAGTAGCTGGAGTCCCCCCAGATGTAGGCTTCAGGGTCTGGTAGCAAGCACCTGGAGGAAGACACAAGTAAGAAGTGCCTCTCTTTCTCATCATCCAGAGTCCAAGAAGAATAATAGTGCAAGATATGCTGAAGTTGGATCACACTCACCTTTGACCTGTGGAGGAGAGCATGAGTCTGATGCAGAATAGGGTGGGGTGTCTGGGAGCTGGCGTTGCCTAAGGATTAGAGACGAGGATTGCTTTTTTATTTTACTGTATCCCATTATACTTCACAACTGGGAGGCAACCCTCAATGTACAGCACCACGGTGATGGTGCCAGGTACTGGGGGGCAGAGAGCAAAGCCCATCAGACCATGCCCAGTGTCATGTTCTGGGCAAGTGATTGAGCTTTGGGTCCCAGCTCTTCACTTCCCAGCTATGTGTTGTAGCCATCAACAAGTACCTAACCTCTCCAGGCCTCCATCCCCCACCTACAAAATGGGAAGAATTATTACACCCACATCACATGTTGTTACAAGAATTGTAATAACGTATACAAAGCCCAGAACATAGTGTGTTAAATATAGTGAGCTTTCACTAATAACTAATTAACACTGCTATTGTTCTTAACATTTTTCTGCCAGTCAAATGCTGTCACTAAAGCAATGGGCTTCCATTCAGAGTTCTTGGAAGGAGCTCTGGGGTTTTACAAAAGAACATTTTTAATTTCTGGGGAAAAAAATCATTTTTTTCTTTTTTTTATATATTGAGGTACAAGTAAAACTTCATTTTAAGAAATGAGCACAGCTGAGTACCAGTGGCTCATGCCTATAATCCTAGCTACTTGGGAAGCTGAGCTCAGAAGGATCACAATTCAAGGTCAGCTTGGCAAATAGTTTGAGAGACCCTTTCTACAAAAAAAAAAAAACAGAGCAAAATGGACTAGAAGTGGAGTTCAAGAGCAAAGCATCTGCTTTTCAAGTATGAGGCCCTGAGATCAAACCCTAGTCCCACCAAGAAAAATGAAACAAAAGAAAGAACCAAAGAAGCACAACCTCTGATCCAAAAGACTGGCAAGTTCTTCACAATCAGAAACCTTGATTCTACATCCTACAGAAGAACTTGCTTCTCTGGCTTCAATAGAAGCTATCTTGTTCTTGGTGGACTAACGTTCCAATATAATACAAAGAAGATAAAGTTTTGCTCTTTATCATTTACTAGAAAAGTTGTATCTTCTCCTCAAGTTGGTTCCTTGAATTAATTCACTTCCTATAATAAAGGAAAAGAAATTAGACATTTACCTTCCTCTAAAACCCCATCAAAATGAATATAAAGCAGCAAAGACACATATACACAAAAGGATGCAAATACTGAAATGTGAGCTGGTTCTCAAGTGACAGAGTTTACAGTTGGAGTCTAAGCAAAGAAATTGCCTGCTAAAACAAAAGTACATTCACTCTTCAAAGAAATGTGAAAGAACCCCTGTGTTCATTGACAGCAATATGTGTTGGGAATTTTTAAATATTTCTAAATTTCACATATTTTCCTTACAGTTTACCCCCTTTTCCAAAATTCACCACAGCTATTTCTTTATTTCATTATATTTTATATCATTCCATGCTCAGAGCATTTTAATATATTTGAAGAATTTTAGCAGTTCTTTTTGAAGAATTTGAAGGAAAAATGAAAGAAAGCTACCTTTAAAACTAAGCAAACTGTTAAAGAAAGAACAATCATGAACTTGAAGAAAAATACTGTTGTTTGGGATTGATGTGCACCACTAAGCTCCTCCCTCCTCACAGTCATAATGTCAGGAATTCCAACAACTCACATTAGACTGTTTGGGGTCTTTGGGTTCTGGATTTGCCTCTTATCTAAAGGAATTTCCATAAAGTAACAGACACCAGAGTATGACAGACAATGTGGGTCACTCCTTGAGATTCTTAGCAGCTGATGGAAAACAGTGATTTGCCAAGGCAGACAGAATCCAACACATTGACCTTGATCAGCTCTTTATAAGGATTCCATCTGTTCACTGTTATATTTTTATTTCCCATCAATAAAAATATAGTTGTTATAGAGGTATTGTTATCCCCCCACATGGACTTTCACAGTAAGAATATGTCTTTAGTGTGTGTGTGTCCATAGTGCTCCAGAAGTAAGTGTGTAGTAGGCCCTCATTCATTTCCCAAGTAAATACTTGGTCAAGCTTGATTAGGGTTTGTGCACACCACCCAGAAGTTGGAATGGGAAAGCATTAAGGAAGCTCAAGTAAACCATTTCATGATAGGACAGCAAGAAACATGACAGGGAAGACCCCACACCTCCCCTTCAGCCTGCTTGTAAACTGCAGGAAGCCCGTTCTCTCTTACTACCCCTTCTCTAATGCTTTAGACACTGAGAATCTTTTTCAAGAACCTTGTCTGGACCAGGCACCATGCCAACGTCTGCATGTATTGTCTCATCTAATCTCTATACTACCTATATGAAAGGATTCCGTAATTGTCCTTATTCTACAAAGCAATGGACTAAACAAGTTACTCAAGATTATTTATTAAGAAAGTAGTCAACCCAAGTCAGGAGGTCTACCACCAGAGTTTGCCTTTAAAAACAGGATGTTTGAAATACAGACTATCTTAATCTCATTGATTATTATAGGTAATTTAATTTTGCATAAATTTTTTTTAGGACAGAGATGTACAGGGTAATGTTTTAGTTTAGTCTTCCTCTTACCCAATAGTTAAACCAGTCAATGAGCTCAAAGAGCCGTGAGCAAGCTCTTCTCAGAGAACTACATGTACTACCTTTTACAACATCACAATAAAGGGTTTATCAATCCCACTCTACTGCTAGCAGAACTGAGACAGGGAGCTGGCAATCAACTCCTGACTCCTTTGCCATCCAATCCCAGTAAGTCAAGTACTAAGCAAAACCCAAGATATTAGTTGCTTACACTCAAGCATTAGAATGAAATAAAATGAAGCATTGAGTTGATTCCTTCATGACACAACATGTCTCAAAGTCACCACCTGTCCTGTGAAGTCATCCTCTCAGGCCACCTCAGTGCACTCAGCCTTTTCACTCTTACCTTAAACCAGCCTAAAGCTCATTTTGGTATCAAGCCCATCATATATAACCACTCAAACCAAACAGTATTTCATGTGTGTGAATTGTGCTCCATTATGTTCACACAACGAAGAAATCTCCCACTGATGCTATTCTCAGAATGTACCCATCATGAAGTGACACATCATTAAGTATCTGACATGGGACTTGAGCAGTGGTAAGGAAGGGTACATGTTTCTGTGACCTCATGTAGGGCATCTCAAGCTGTAGTGTGGATATGAACCCCAGGGAAATTCTGTTCAAAATGTAGATTCTGATTCTGCATTTCTGGGTGGGGGCTATGATGCAACATTTCCACCTCTTGGTAAAATCCAATCCCTAGCCCTACTTTGAGTACGGGAAGAAAGCAGATGAAGTCGTGAATCTGAATTGAAGATCCACAAGTCTCTTTCCCAAAACTTTCCTTGCCTCCCCCACAACACACACACACACACACTTCTTGTCTTTTCCAGTACAACTTCCAGAGTGTTATGCTGTCCCCGCAAATTGCCAGCTCCCTGGCTCCAAGCAGTACTCCACACCTGGACATTTCCAAGAATATCCCATCCCCACAGCTCACCTGTGTTTCTAGTAGGTAGCTGGCTAACCTAGGAAATCAGAGAGAAACTCAGCCTCTTTCGCCCAGGCAATCAGCTGCCCCCGACTCTACCACAGAGGGAAACACAGGGTTAAGGGCAATTTGTAGATGCCTACACATGCTAATACAACTGGCCCCAGCTCTGTATATCAGATTTTTCACATAAAGATGAGAAAGTTCTTTGTAGCCTGTCCCAGTGCTCATACATGAATACATGTCTCCCAAAAGGGGTCTTTGTCTAAATAAGCCTGAAGAATACCGTTTCTCCTCTCCAGATACACATTAGCAAGTCAAATACTTTGACAACTGTCAGCAAAAATGCTCATTTAATTTGGTATATGCCAGTGAGTCACAACCTAATTAATGAGCGCAGAACTTTTTTATTCACTACAGCATCTCTTGGGACAAGTTTTCAATAAAGTAATTATGGAAGTCTTTCTTACAGAACCAATAGTTCGCCCTTTTAAATATATTTAAAGATCTGAATCCAGGAGCAGTGGTACATATCTGTAATCCCAGCACTAGAAAGGTAGAAGTAAGAAGATCAAGAGTTCAAGTCCAGCTAGAACTATGCAGTGAGACCCTGCCTAAAAAATCAAGCACATAAATCTTCCTAGAATATTCAAACCTACTCCTAGCAATTTTGTAGCCTACTGGTCTCTTAGATCATTTAGGTAGAGTTGGCACTGACATTGTTTAAAAGCACAATTCATAGGCAATTTAGTAGAAGATAAGTAACAGTATTTGTAGTAAACCTAGGTCTGAATCTGAACTCTGCTCTCTCAAGCCAAAAAAAAAAAAATCTTACATCCCAGGGGTATTGGGAGAATGTAACTAACCTGCATAAAGAGCCTGGTAATTTAAAATACTCAAAACTTGTAGTATTTGTACAAGTTGTACCGATGGAATGATCATTGAACCAGTCCAACGTCCCTGCGGTCATGGACCAGATTTGTTTCTTCTTGTTCCCACTCAGATTTTTATTGCAGCTCCACTTAACTGCCTGCACCTGAGCATTTTTATCAAGTAATGACAGGTTATCTGATCATAGGACTCTTCTTAAGTGAACGTGAACTCTGACAATCTTTACAAAACCATGTCTCCAATCTATTCTAAGTCACACCTTTCAATAGATAATTTTAGATACTTTAATAATATATTTCCCTGAGCTTCATATTCCTCTAAAACATTCCCTAAGAGTAAGGTAGAAAGGAAAAAAACAGGAAATTAACCACTTCAGGTTATTATTTACATATACACATGGAAATGCCACAAGGAAACTCCCTGCATAGCTATCTTAAACCAACAAAAATGTCATTTTGCTTTTTACAAAAACAGAGAACAGAAGGGTAAAACAACTCCTGCTTGGGGGGTTGGTACAAGTGGGAGGGGGAAAAGGTGGAGAGAGGATGTGGGAGGGTGTATATGGTGTCAGTGTTGTGAACACATGTATATAAATGGAAAAATGAGACCTGTTGAAATTATTCCATGAATGAGGGGAGGAAGGGTAAAGGAGAATGATGGATGGGATGA